GGCATTCGTCCCACTGATCACCAATGTAAGGGGCATCATTCCCACTGATCACCAATGTAAGGAGCATTCTTCCCACTGATCACCAATGTAAGGAGCATTCTTCCCACTGATCACCAATGTAAGGAACATTCTTCCCAATTTTTGTTTATTAAAAGACTAGCAATCAATAAACATAAAAGTCAAATGCAGAATAAACATAAATAAATAATTATATACATATATAACAAAAGTAAATGTAGCAAAATCTGCTGTCAAACCAAAAGATGACTTCATAGAAAAAAACAAACCTCCTACCTAGAGATACATCACTGAGGGGGAGATAAATCCTACTCATAATCACACCGCTACACCAGACATCCAACCTGCGAGGTTAAGAAACAAACCCGCTCCCGTTATGCACGCAGCCCTTCTTCAAAAACATCTAAACCAACAAAATCTAAGGAAGTGAAAAAAGAAGAGCATAAGAGAAGAGCCCCTCACCCAGAGACGGACAGTTCACCAAAGGCAGGTCTGATATTCCTCCACGTCCTTATCCAGACCGCCCGAGGCTCCCTACCCTTCTCAAGACCCCGAATCTTCCCAACCTCACCCAGAATATCGTGCACCACCACCTCAACAGGGAGGACTTTCTTCCGCAGGGTAATCTGACACGTGAAGTAACGGACTACGAGACTAAAGGTAAGTTTTGATCAAGTCAACCCTCTCCCTCAAGGAAAGCCTTCATCTCTTCCAGCTTGCTACTTTGGCATTGGCAATCACCAACCTGCTTTCCCAATTTCGACGGCCATAGTCGCCAGGACCAAATTTAATGCCCAACACTTTAATTTCCTGCTGGGGCTCTGGGAAGGCATCCGGAAGTTCGAAGCTTTCGCCCTCCTCACCCATCCAGAAAACTTCACTCTTTTCATGGTTGACTTTAGAGCCAGAAGCCTCTACTTAATATGCACATCTACCAGGCCTGCTTGTCTAACCATATCTCTAAGAAAAACGCTATCGTAACCCAGCCGGTCTATGGAGCCTCTCCTGTCTTCAGGCCTAATGATGGTGTTAAAGTCACCTCCAAAGACAACCTGCCGGGACGTAAAAAGGAAGGGCTTGATCTTTGTGAGGAGGCATTTCCTGTCCCATTTTGACTGCGGCCCGTAGATATTGATCAGGCGCAGGTCCTGCCCCCTAACAGAGACGTCTATTACCATGCATCTCCCCATTTCTACCTCAATTACCCGCCGGCATGTTACCATATCGGTCTTAAAAAGCACCGCGACTCCGCTGCAGGGCTCAGCCGCAAGAGACCAAAAGGAGGGACCGCATCTCCACTCCCTTTTTGCTAGATAGACATCGCTCAAAGTATTGAGCCAGGTCTCTTGCAAAAATAAAATCTCAGCATCAAACTCGCTGAGCAAAAATAAGGCAGAATCACAAGCTCTGGCAGATCTAATGCTGGCGACATTAATGGTCGCCACCTTTAACGGAGCGGGAACTGCCATCAGGATGATTGGGGTAGACGTTTCTTAACCTCAACCACACTCTCATCACCCGAAACAACTCTCTTCAGACTGCGCGACTCCCCCTCATCCATAGATGATAAGGAGATGGAAATATCGGACCCCATCTCATCCTCTGACAAGACTGAAAACATATTTTCAAGAGGAACCCCTCCTGGATCTGACTCTGAGGAAGAAAGGACCGCTCTTATCCTCCTCTTCTTCTTCTTCTTCCTCTTAACCGCCTCCCACCCACCATCAACAGAAACCCCTTCAACAGGAGGTGAGACATGGGGCGCAGGCACCTCTCCTCCAACCCCCCCACCCCCATCCAGCACCTCCGTACTCTCCTGACCACGCTTCTGCGGTTCAGGGAATGCTGGAGGCCCCGGCACCTCCTATACCTCTGCACTGCTGGAGGCCCCGGCACCTCCTATACCTCTGCACTGCTGGAGGCCCCTGCACCTCCTATACCTCTGCACTGCTGGAGGCCCCGGCACCTCCTATACCTCTCCCAGAAAATATCCAGACCCTCCGGCTTCATAAATGATAAGTCGTATTCGTAGCTCCCCACTGGACAAATCAAAGTCAAAAATTCGGAGGCTTTAAACCCCATCTCCAAAATCAGCTCAGCCACCTTCCCCCTTACTAGTGGGGCTCCCTCCCCCTCCCACCTCAACTGCACCACATTCCTCCTCCTGTACCCACCAACCAGCCCTCCACCAAACCTCACCGAATTATGAACATTCCCTCCACCCTCCTTGGTACGACTCCCCAAAACATTAGCATAGCCCCCCTCATTCCTCTCTGCAGAGGAAACATCTGACAACACATTAGCAGATCTCGATTGCACAGATCTCGATTGCACAGATACGAGATTGGACGAAGAATCCGTACTCTGCTGAGAAGGGGGAGAAATGTCAGCAAAATTAACCCCCTCACCACCACCCACCACAGGCACATTATCACCAGACACATTATGTGCAGGCACGCTGATAGTCTCTGCTTTCTTCACAGCAGTGTCCACACTCACTGCTGCACCAGCAGGCATGTCCTCCTTCAGGACTGAGGTCTCAGCTGTGGAAACTGAAGGCTGTTCTGACACAGCAACAGGTGAACCACTCACACAGGCGACATCCATGGCAGCTTCCACTCCACCTGTAGCACTGTGCCCCCCTCCCCCTCCAGCATCAATCAGCTCTGGAACACAGGGAGGCTCAGGTGCAGCAAAAACTCCACTGCTGGTGGCCATCTTGCTTGCAGCAGTCTGAGAGGCACTACCGGTCTCAGCATAGGCAGACGCAGACACTCCAGCAGAAAGTTCCTTCTCTTTCTGCTCCTCAGCCGGGACACCATCCACCACAGCCGGTGGGGCAGACATGCTGGAAGTCAGCTCCGTGTACTGGGACCTCTCCACCATCACTGGCTTTGCTGGCCTGTACCTCCTTTGCCCATCCTCAGGGATTTCTGATGGATCATCAGAAAATGCAAAATTGTCTGCCCTCAGGGGTGACTCCATCTGCTGAATGAACTTCAGGGTGCCGTGACCACTCTCAACCCCCTGGCTGGCTGCCGCGGACGATTCCCCAGCCTGACATGGGGGAGAGGTGCTGAGGCAGACGGTACAGGGTCAGACTGCCGATCCACAGGCGCTGCCGATCTCTGGCTGGCGAATCTTCTTTCATTTTCAAACTTTTCTTTGAAAGCTCCACTTTTGGCTTTCAGTTTCTTCAACAATAAAGATTGTTTCTTCACCTTCTCACTCTTCAGCTGTAACTCCGGACTCATAGGTGACCTGTGCTTACTCCAGGCCTGGCAGTATCTGACCCGGAGCGATTTCTGATCTGCTTTCAAAGCTTTCAGCTTCTTTTCAGCTTTCCTGATAGCCAACAATCGTTCAACAATCTTCTGACTGTACACAGTCATATCCTCACCAGGGCCCGGACCCACCGACAGGTCCTCCACCTCCTCCTCCATCTCCTCACTAGGCCCTGTGTCATCAGGGGGATCTGTCCCAGGGCCTCCCCCAGGATCAGGCATTGTTGCTGGGCCAAGCCAGCAGGCAAGGCCCAGGCTTGAGAATGCTGGTTCTCAGAGAGAGAGCTCCTTCACTGTGTGCTCCTCCTCTTCCCACTGACCCCCAATGTAAGGGACATTCTTCCCATTGACCACCAATGTAAGGGACATTCTTCCCATTGACCACCAATGTAAGGGACATTCTTCCCACTGACCACCAATTAATTGATTTTAGCAGGTGTTTCCTTATACACTCAAGTTATTTCTAGGGTTCCTCTAGGGTAAAAAAAAATGGGTTGGGAAAGGGCTGGTATAGAGCACACACAGTGTAATCTTTTCCTTAATTACTGAAGGTCCATCAAGAACTTAAGGTAGAGTCATCTTGGTGATGTCATTTAAGTCAGGGTATTGGGCTAAACCACGAACAGAAAGGCCTTCTCCCCACATTGACATCAATGTGTATGCTCATATGCCATGAGTGTGCGTGATTGGTCAAATCTCTGAGAGATGGAGAGCCACTCACGTCTTGAAGGAGAAATAGATTACAAAATTGCTTCAGGCTGATCTATAGCTTCCTCCGCTATAGCTTCCTTCCTTCAGGCTGACTTATAGCTTCCTCCGCTATCGCTTCCTTCCTTCAGGCTGACTTATAGCTTCCTCCTCTATAGCTCCCTTCCTTCAGACTGACTTATAGCTTCCTCCTCTACAGCTTCCTTCCTTCAGACTGACTTATAGCTTCCTCCTCTATAGCTTCCTTCCTTCAGGCTGACTTATAGCTTCCTCCGCTATAGCTTCCTTCCTTCAGGCTGACTTATAGCATCCTCCTCTATAGCTTCCTTCCTTCAGGCTGACTTATAGCATCCTCCGCTATAGCTTCTTTCCTTCAGGTTGACTTATAGCTTCCTCCTCTATAGCTTCCTTCCTTCAGGCTGACTTATAGCTTCCTCCTCTATAGCTTCCTTCCTTCAGGCTGACTTATAGCTTCCTCCTCTATAGCTTCCTTCCTTCAGGCTGACTTATAGCTTCCTGTGATAGAAAGTTCAATAAAGCTGTGGAAATTTCTAACATTGAGGCTTTGATGAGGTCTAGACCCTTCAATTACTTCAGGGTAGGCTTTTCACAAGACTTTGGAGGGTGTCTGTGATGAATGTGATGTCCATTCAACCAGAAGATGTTATAATGGCCTTGAAAGTGTTTTGGCTAAACCATTTTTTAACTGTGTTTTGTTAGAAAAATCACCATGTGGAGAAGCAAGAGATGTTTCAGGAAGAGAGGAGGAAGAGATAACCTTACCGCTTGACACGGGGGGAGTACCAATAAAACTTATGTACTGGTTCTCACCCAGAGGGGACCTCCTCGCCAAAACAAAACCAGGTGGATACATCCAAGCTCAAAGTAATTATGACAGGAGGCTGCAAACTCTTCAGGATGGTTCCTTAACCATCATGAAATTATCAATGAAAGATCAAGGAATCTACACGACCAATGTGCATATGTATGGTGGGAAGAGTTGTCTGCAGATATATAATGTCACCCTTTCAGGTAAGTTTTTGGCTTTTTACAAACCTCACGTCTATAAATTGGAGATTTTGAAGAAAAAAGTAATAGCAAGCAAACTCCTCATCCCGTGATACTGAATGTACATTCATTCTGTGTGAACCGAAGCAAAAAAATGAACGTTCTTAGTATATTATCTTTCCAGGTTTAAATGTCATATTAGGATAATACTGGATTATGACCAGTAGATGGAGCTGAAGAGCATAGGAATTAAGGGGGTTATTCACTAAAGAGCCGAAGGATCCAGACGTAGCTTTGGCTGATCCTTCGGCCCTCTTCGGCCGTCGGAGCCCATCTGTTCAGTCAAACTGAAGAGCTGCTGTACGGGCTATTCACAATAGCCCATACAGCAGGCGAAGGCGGCTGAGCCACTCAGCCAAGCCAAAGGCATATGCTTCGGCTCGACTGAGCTGAAGTGGCAGCCGAAGCAGGGACAATTGGGTGGACCCAGCCGTGATTTCACGGCTGGCTCCGCCCAGATGTAATGACAGATCAGCGTCCCCGAATGACCTGGGGACACTAATCTGTCTTTAAACAATAACAACTGGGCGCAGCCGGCCGTGACGTCATGGCCGGCTCCGCCCAGTTGTTATTCATTGACTGGGACCTGCTAGAAGACACTAGCAGGTGCCAGCCAATAGGAAACAGTTGGGGCGAAGCTAGCTGCCACTGCTGGCTCCGCCCAATTGTTTTTTTTTGTTTGTTTGTTTTTCTTTTTTGAAATATCTTTATTTATTTTTTTATTTTATTTATTTACATTTTAAAAGTATTTTTTCAAACTTTTTTTTTAATTCTTTTTTTTACTCTTTTCACTGATTTTCTATTCTGCTCAGCACCACGGAGGTACCAAGCACTCACTGCCCTTCGGCCCATATGAGAATAGGGGCGAATCGCAGCGAGTGAGCTGCCGGACCTTCAGCTCAGCCGATCCAGATGTTGGATCGGCTGAGTCAAAGTCCCTCTGCACTTCGGCTGCATGTTCGGGTGACCGAAGGCAGCTGATGTACGGCTGATTTCAGCCGATATACGGCTGAAATCAGTCGTACTGAGCCGGAGTGAATAGTCGAACGTCGTTCGGCTCTGTTCACTTCGGCTCGGTTATTCACTCGGCTGCCTTCGTCAGCTTAGTGAAAAAACATTTAAGTATTTATTTCCCATGCTCCTCAGCCCCATCTAGTGGCTATAATGTGGTAAAATCCTGATATATTCAACCTGAAAAGAAAACATACTAACAACATTGATTTCAATCACCATTCACACACATCGAACATTCACAGAGGTTCACCAGACAAATGGCTCTGCAAATTGTTTATAAATACACCTCTTATGGATATGTTAGTGTAACACAACTGCCCATGTAAGGCAAAGCAACGGGTTCACTTTAAGACCACCCTTCCCAGCAGCTTATATTTGCCTTCCAGTTGTTTGCCTTCCATTCATCCATCCAGGAGGGGAAAGCAAAGTCTTTAGTTGGAGCTTCGACGGGGCTGAGGAAATTCTTCACACCCCCCCATGTGACAGTGCTGGGACAAGCACTCATGTTAAAGTGAGTCAAATGCTCCTCCATACTTGAAAGTATTGGGTATGTTCTTTGCTCCTGGTGGCTGAACTGTATGGTGGGGGAGCAAATGGAACATTTATAATGTGCTGCTAGGCAAGGGGCCATTGATGTGAGGCAGTCACTTTGTCCTGCATGGGTTAAATAAGATTAATTTTAAATGAACAAGTTAAGAGAGACAGAGTCAAAGTGGCATTG